GCCCAAGCACTGGCACAGGTTGCCCAGAGAGGCAATGGATTCCATTGTCAGATATTCAAAAGCTACCTGTATAAGGTCCTGGACAGCTGGCCATTGGTGGCCATCATGGAGCAGTGAGGTTGGACCAAACGACCTATAGATGTCCCTTGTCACCTCAAGCTTTCTGTGATCCTGTGAACAAAGGGACAATTCTGAGGGCAAAGTTTTGCTGGTGACCACAGAGGTCCCTCAGGAATCAGAAAGTGGCATCGGGCTGTCTTTTTTCATGACTGCTCTCTAGAGGATGTTTGCTCATGGAAATAGCATGTTCATGCCATTAAAAAGCTGGATAGACAAGCATGAAGCAAAGCAAACAGGTATGTCTCATCTAATGACATACGTAAGTTTGCTTTAGCTCCTTAAAAAAACCCAAACCAACAAATTACTCCATGTGTAAGTACTCCAGTCTCATTACCTGACACACTCTAACACTCCTATTGACATTAGTGGAATTACTAGGTTCTTGCAAGCAAGGATCACTTTATTTAAACACCTAAAGACAAAGGTATGAGATTCCTGGCACCTCATTAACAAGGAGAAAAAATTCTGCCTTAAAGAGAAAGGAAAACAGATAATAGCAGATAATGAAAAGATACTAGCAGTAACCCTGGTATTGTAAAACTTCTCTTTTGAATCAAAACAACTGTTTCCATAGCTGAATGTATTCTTTCTTTCCTGGAAAAGGGGATGAGAAGGGAACACTGAAGGCCTTAATTGTGCAAGGGGGAAGGATGGACAGAAAGAAGAAGAGTAGGAGAGAATGGTTTTACTATGAAATATGAAAAGATAAAAATTAATCCAAGGTATTTGATAAAAATGGCAGTTGGTATTTGGTACCAAATTTGGTAAGAATGAATGAAACCCCCTAACCAATTGTTCTTACTTGCATCGTTATGAGGTTAATGTTGAAAAAGAATTGCAATTCCCAAGCAGTTGTACAAATGTAAAATCTAATATATTCCTTAAAGAGCACGCTGTAACAATAAAACACTTTTCAAACCAGGTCTTGTATCTCACCCATTAGAAATCTTATCTACACCATTAAGCCTAGACTACAAAGAAAGGAGTAAATAATGTCTTACTTTTACAACAGTAACAGAACTAATTATCCAGGCCATAAGGTAGCTTTTGTTTGTTTACCCTGTTCAGTTTTTTCAGCAGTTTTTAAGGAAACACCTTAGAAAAAATAGGGAGCCATTCCTTCGTTTGTATGGGACATAGGCACACAATGTTTATCCACTTATCTATCTGTCTAGCTTTCTTATGATCTTATTTGTCATAAAATACAAAGAAGAAAAGAAGAGTGTATCCTTCAATCATACCAGCAATTTTTAGGGCATTATCTGTGTTTGAAGGTTATAGACTCCTTAAGGAAGCATTTTGCATTTAGAGTCCTAGAGCATCTTCTTAAATGCATTTCCCTTAAGATCACTAGGACTAAGCCATACGGGGAACAAGCCCTTCCTACCCATTTGAGAAATGTTCTGTTTGCTGGCTCTAGACGGATTTTTTGGTCTCTATTTTATTTTTAGAAGTGTATAATCACTGGGATTAAACAGTCCTTGTCCTTTCCTAATGTTACTATAAAAAACTGAAATTGCTTTCTGCTTTCACTGGTCATCCACTCCTGCTCTTTCAAAGTTTTACTCTCCAATTTAATTTCCATTGCTGTTTGCTGGACCTGTTCATTATTGACTTTCACAGCAAACATCTCTATGAAGTTCTTCAGAAAACCTCAAAGAGAAAACTCAACCCAGTTACACAAACCAGCTAACAGAGCAGAACCTGAAAACTGGGTGAGTTTATGCCATGAAGTTTCAAGTCTTTTGAAAGCTACATTTTAAGAAACCTGTGAACAAAAGGTGTTCTGTGCTATATTATTTTGGTGTCATTATGGGAAGGAGTCTCTAAGGGGATACTGCAGAAGGGCAGGATGTCCCCAGCTCTGCTCCTCTGATAAACCTGCCTCTGCTGAGCAGCCACAGCAGCACACACACATTCACCATTGGGCAGAGACATGGGGATGGCCCTCTGGGACTCAGGCTGCGCTCTGGGCATCTTCCAGCTTCTCAGTAGCTTTAAATACAGGTAACCTGGAATTTTCTTGTGAAAAGAGAGGTTTGGGGGAATGAAGCAAGTAGGGTTAAACCTCAAGGAATTAAATCACACATGGTTTTAAATTGCATTTACTTTCACTGGAAAATAACCCTTTTCCTAAACAATCCTTTCAGATTCAGGAATCTTCAGAAGTGATACCTTATCTTCTGGTCCACAAAGTACTTGGAGATAGATAACTGTGTAAGTATGTTCTGCTCAGCATGACTGTTTCCTTGAGTAAGCAGACCATGTACTGGCCTTATCCAACATTCACAGCTAGCTTGCACCCAGGTTTTTGCATGTTTTGGGAAAGAGACAGGATCAAACTTGATTCCCCCTGGGGTGCTCATTGATTTCACCTTCCTGCCAGTGGCAGGGCTTGGTGCCTGAACTTGTTCTGGAATGTTTGTCAGCTGTTTCTTCAGAGATAAATCAGTGTATTGCTGGGCGATGGACAGATCCTGCAGGTCGCTGGGTCCCAAGCATTTCTGGGGTTCTCCTGAGGAAGGAAAAGTGTGCTGGCCCATCTTTTCCTGGGTCTGCCATAGGAATGTAATGGACACTTGTATGTTCTGTGAAGGGGTGTTCAAAAGTATGGTCCTATACTTTTTGTGCAATCAGACACACCATTGTCTAATCCAGAGCTTGTTAGGGCCTGAGCCTGCAGTTCTTGCACATATAAAATTTCCTCTTATTTGCCAGCCACAGGGAGATCTCAGTCAGCATCTCACAGCTTCATTTCTCCATTCCCTGAAGTTGTGGGTTTCATGAACAAGAGCAAGAGCAGTTGCTAATGGAAAACTTCCCTCATGAGAAAGGTCACCGAAAGTCTCTGTTCATCACTAAATTCTCTCATTTGTAAAACACGAAACTACTACTGCTTCACTTCCCAGGCCCGATCCACCCTCCCACCTCATCCACTAATGCAAGGCTAATTGTATGCTAGATAATATTCTCTTTAAACACAAGCTATTACTTGGGATGACCAGAAAAATTTAAGAACATGAGGAACTGGAATACTGCTTTTAATGTATATAGCTGTATTTACATATATATTGTATTCTATATATTGCTTTCTAAAGTTCTTGTGATTACATTCCTTGTTCCTGGGAAGCGTTTATTTCCAGCAAATAACACAGGCAGGATGCTTCTTCTTTTCCTGCAACTTTTGCAGTTCTGACACTATAAAGACTGATGTGGTGCCCTATGTCTACAGATATTGTGGAGATTCTCCTCTAGGTGTTATTACAGTTTAGCTTTTCTTTGCTGGTGAAGTGTTGCAGTTTCTGATGATTCTAGCTCATCATATAGATATTCTCCGTCAAGTACACAAATACAAGGTTTTATCTCTAGACAGCCTATAGATTCTTAACAGGAACACATGCATATTTAAGAAATAACATCATTAATTGAATGCTTATGATATTGACATCAAAGTTGCTTTTAAAGAGTGATATTCTATAAAGAGATGTACAGAGCTAGCACTTCTCAGGCTTTCTGCTGTCAGCTACACATCTGATCCTTCAAATCCTAGCTGGTTTGTATGTCCAAAAGATTTGCTGCTTTTTCCTGTAACAGCTAGCCTCACAAGAAGTAACACTGCCTCCCTATATACTTTGCCTTGACTAAATGACACCTCATTTGTGTCCTGGAGAACATCAGTTGTCCTGGAGAAAATCACACCTTGGGGCTCTCACACCTTTTGCTGTCTTTGCAGAATTGTCTCTTAGCCCTGCTGAAATCTATCCCTTGCAAGGGCCTTTGGACACCATCACATCCCAAATGCTAATCATTTTTATTTACTTTGGTATGCAGCCTGCAAGACTAGCAAAGCTCAGTCAAGAAGAAAACACAAAACCCCCTCTTTGACAGGGTTTGCTTAGTAGTAGTATCATCAGTCATGCAAAGCATGAGATCATAGAATACTCATTTTCATTTCTACTCCACCTTCTCTTCAAATAGCTCAACCTAGACTTTCAACCATGAATGAATAATATCTAACAATTGCTCTTTGAAGTAAGTAGTATTATCCTTGTATACAGAGCTGAAAATGGACCGCAGTTAGTTAAATAACTTTCCCAGGCATGCACCAGAACTGCATCAATCAGGGAAAAGAAACACTCTCTTTTTTTCAGTCCTGGATTTTGAATCAGCAAGATCATGTTTGATAGGAGCAAGACATTCATTTTACAGTTAGAGACGAATAGTTTCAGGCATTTGAGATGGAAACAAACACTATTTCATTTTCTCTTAACAGCTAATTGTTGGAAAGATTTTTGGTAGAGGAAATCAAGCTTAAAATAAAAAACTCTTCCCTCTAACCAGAAAAAAAAAAAAAATTAAAGGCCCTTTCAGATATTAATATTGTGCTTTCTTCTATTTAGGTCATTGAATAACAACAACAAAAACTGTTAAGATACAGATGCATCATATTCCATTCTACCAGGGTATCTGATTAGCAGATTATTTACCTGGGAGACTGCAGATATATTACTTAATGTGATCAGGTCAAGCTAGCATTAACACCAGGAATACATTTACACCAGGAAGAAGAAAACAAACAAACAAAAAAAATCAGTATTCTTAAATACGTTAATACTCTTATTTAATGCTCTTAAATACTTGAGCAAGAAATGTGTCAGATGCAGTGAGAGCAAAATCCAGGCTGGACTGGGAGAAATTAGGGTCATGGAAGGGAGAAGAGCATGTCCAGAAGAGAGGAGAAAGGTGGGCCAGAAAAGATGCAAGAGAAAATGAATGGATAAGAAGTCAAAGGTGAAAGAAAGGAAAGGTGCAAAGTGATGCAGTGAGAGACTGGGAAATGGAGAGGAAAGGGTCCAAGGAGGAGCATGAGGAGACTGTACCTGCTAGCTGAAATGGGCTTCCATTGGGGTGGCCAAGGAGCCAGCCTGCTGCCATGGCTGGTGATGCCCTGCAGTCCCCCAGCCCCAGCGAGTGAAACCAAGTCATGCAGGTGGTTGCCTTAAGGGTGCACGTCACTGCCCACAGTGAAACCACTTCTTCAAAATTGAGGTCCTGGGACCTCAGCCTGAAGGAAACACTGTGGTACAGGGAGAAGAGGGGCCTCTCTGAAAGCTGGGGAGCATCTTCCTTCTGTCAGAGAATGCCTCTGCCAAGCCAAACAGCTGCTTCCACTCCAGCTGCTCTGCCCTTGCCCCTCTCTTTACCCCTTCTCTCACACTTCTACACAAACCTATTTTCTCGGGTAAATTTAGTGCAGCTGATTTTTTGCTGTCTCACCTCAATTCTTATTTTTGAAGCAGTTATAGTTTCTGCTTTCATGCACCGGCAGTCTGCATAATTTATTTGAGTATTGATGAGGGGGAGAACAAGTGTCACTGCCAAGCTAAAGAGCTTAAAAAAACAATCCAAAGTTTGTGTGATTCCATGGGAACACCCTGCTGTATCTGTCATCGTGGGCTGAGGGAGGTTTCCTGGCCTGGGTGAGTGCTTGGTCTGCTGGTGACAGAGGACTTGCTGCGGTCATTTCCATGAGCCAATGGATGGGGAGCAGGTTTTTGGCATGGGGCTGTGTTTGCGCCAGGGGAAAAGGGAACTAGCACTGTCCACGGGAGGTTTATACTGAGCTACAGCTGCTCTGAAGTCGTTTTGCAAATGATTTGTCAAGGGGATAAGAATAAAGGTCTCCAGGCTCACCCTGAGACATGAGCCTCTAGGGACACGGCCCCTCTGCCCTTAGCCTGTCCCTACTTGCTGCCTTCCTTGGAGTGTAGCATGCCAGGACCTGCCTCATCATTGCCTTCCAGTCACTGGTGTGTAAAGGGTAGAACCATCCCGGCCCTGGCTGAAGTTGCTCACCCCAGCAAGGCCTCTTGTTTGTATTAGGACAGGACATCACAGAGAAGCAGGAGGGTCTCCTCAGCTTCCACAGCCCCACATCACAGCCCCAGGCAGAAAGCGGATCCAGTTTTAAGGGATAAGCTGGAGCATCTGCCCCACAATCCCACAGGATACGCTGGGGTATTTTTACTATTCATTCAACTGTTACAGTTTATATCTAAAAGTATATTTTATTACATTATTCAGTCAGTTACAGTTTTACTTGCTAGGGACCAAGCATTCATTCTGCAACTGTACAGAACCTGGATAAAAAGAATCCCTAAAAAATAAATTCAGCATCAGTAAGGTGTTCCCAGAAACCTGTCAGAGGTGATACCTATATATTTTTATTTTTTACTGATACCTGGTAAATAGCTTCTTTTGAATTAAGGTAGTTTAAATAAAAATGTAGATGGACTAGAAATAGACAGACATATCATAGGTAAAAGAAGCCACAGAAAATGTCCCATAGGTAATTGCAGGGACAATGGGGGAAATGGCATTGAGACCACCATTGTTAGCAAAGACAAGCGGATGATCTCTCACAAGACTGCCCTAGAAGACTGCGGCAATAGCATTGTACACTGGTGTTGGAGACAAGTTTGTATGTGATGCAGTTCAAAGGAAGGAGCTGAAATTATATGAAAACTAGGGAGGTATACATTTGCAAGGACTCAAAAACTGGGAAAGGAAGTATAGGATTCCACAGGCCCTAGAGAAATCATTGCAAGCAGGGAAATGTCATGCTGGCAACAAGATGTCCTAGCTGGCAGGTTGGCTTTTTGTTTTCCACAGCCCTCACTGGTACTCAGTCCCAGCATGGATGAGGTTGGAAAACACCTCTGGCAATAGCTTAGTCGGGTCCCACGTTGAAAGCATGATCAGGTAGCACAGGTTGCCCCAGAGCACATCCAGTAAGGTTTTAAATATCTCCAAGGATGGAGAGTCCACAATTTCTCCAGGCAATTATTCAGCACTCAACTACCCTTGCAGTAAAAATGTGTTGCCTAACATTCAAGGGGAATGTCCTGTGTCTCAGTTTGTCCTGTTGTTGGTCCTCAGTCCTGTCACCAGATACCACAGAAAGGAGTCTAGGTCACCCACAGGTATTTATACATATTGGTAAGATCCAAGGCTCTCTTCTCCAGGATAAATAGCCCCAGCCCTTTCATCCCCTTCTTGCATGTCAGATACCCCAATCCCTTAACTTTTTCATGGCTCTTCACTGGACTTACTCCAGTAAATCCATGTTTTTCTTGTACTTTCTTCAATCCCTTTCAAAACCATACCTCCATACAGGTTTTGCCCTCAGAAACCAGGGAGTAGACACTGTGCTTCTGTTCTGAAACTACTAGACATCTACCCCATCTAGTTACTGCTCATGAACAGTTGGGTGACATGGCAATGACCTGTCTGAATGCTTACGTACATACTAAATGAGTGTCTTTTGATTTAAAATTGGCAAGTAAGTAAAGTGCTTTGTTTTCTCTTTCACTTACTGCATTCAGCACTGGAAGCCACTGGGATGCTATTGAAGATCTTACACTTTTTTGTGCTTGAAACAAGATGAAACTAACACTAACTTTCTTAATCACGAGACTGTTGCTGGTGATTCAGCTGATCTGGTATCAGAAGTCTCAATACATACGTCATGTTTTAGGCTTAAAAGCTTCTGTGAAAGATGCTATCAGCTAGGACAGTTCATATCTATTGGATGGAAGCAAAATAAACTTATAAAATCTGGCATACTGGCTTATTCCCAGAGGTGCTGGACTGAGGGTAGAGAGGATTAAACAAATATGTCATACACACGTAAAGCATTCTTCTAAGTGAGTAGGCTGGGTTGGGTTTTTTCCACCATGAAAGAGTGCTTTCTGTTACCAAGTATTTTATCCAAGTTATGTCACACTATGGTTGGTCTTCACTGCACCAGTTAGATAAAGTCAACTCCAGTGGGAGTAGCCACATGGCAAGAACCTCTCTAGCTAAAATGTATGACTGGATTACTAGCACAGTTAAACTAGACTTATATTTTAGTGCTTGTACTAATATGAACTCTAGCTTAGGGTGAGACCTCCACCTTATACATTATTAACACAGGTGTTAGCATACATTTTGAATGTAGGTGTTAGCAGGAGCACTTCAGGGTCAGCTCCTGATTTGCTACTTGGTTTGAATTCAAGACTTCACTGAGTGGGAATGAATTTCTTTTTGCATGTGAATGGGAGTTGAGCTGGGGAGCAACATTTAGTTTCTTCCAGATACTGTTAGTAAAGACAACCGCCTAGCTAGGGACACATGGGTATTGCCACAGCAGGTTGGTCCTACTTACTCAAGCCAATATCCTGACTGCCATATTAGCAATTCTCAAACATTTCAAAGGAAGATAAAAAAGCCCCTTAATTTTGTGGAATCACCTCCACAAAGAGTGGCAATTTCCCTTAGATTTCAGACAGCAGTTGGTGTATATCCTGAACTATCAGGCTCTATTACTCTTCCTTCAAAAAAAATAAATGAGCAAATGCTAAATTATTGTCTAGTATTACTGTGGACTCTGATTATGCTTGTATTTTTGTAAATCTTGCTAACTTTTTTTCTTAATGATACATTACAATGATAGACTTTAAAGGTTAAATTCAGATTATTTGAAAACTTTTTTTAGAAGCATTTCCTTTGATCCATTTCAATTATATTAAGCAAGGCCAGTTTTGTAAGTAGAGATCATATTTTTTAATAGACCAATTGGTACTGTTGAAAAAAAGTATTTAGGCATTACTTTTTTCAACTACTTGGTTTAACAAGATTCCTACCTACAAAACTTGTCTTGCCTATGCCTTAAAAAAAATTAAAATCACAGCTACAATAACTCTATCCCTCAAAAAGTATTATTATTCATTTGCATTATCTGATGCCAGCCTGCACTTCAGGATCTGTTTCCACATGATTTACTAAACATGTTAATTTTGGGTCAACGCAAAGAGAAATTATCACTCCCAATAGCAGACGTGGCTTTCTCAACACCGATTTGAATGTTACAGGAGAGCTATTTGGCACTTGCAATATCATTTGGCTGGAGAAAAGAGCTGTTGGCAGGGATTTTCTTCCCAAAGATCCTACTTCCCTTTTCCCCCCTTATTTTTCATCTCATAATGTTTAATTCTGCCTTTCTGTCAGAGATTATACAAATTCTGTCACTTGGCTGTTTCTGGGTTGGAAAACACACCACAGTCATGGCTTAACTACAAAGTGGGACAAGACCCAGGGGTATCTATCTGTTTCTCCTAAAGTAAAGTAAATCTCTGTATGTACTCAGGAGAGGAATGGTAGTGCTCTCCATATAGGTGCCAGCTTCAATCAACAGGGGATCTAGTTTTGTGGAGAAAGGATAACATCATCAATCAGTAATCTGCAGGAATGTCCAGTAAATCTCCTTGCAGTGCACAAGCTAGCAGTGCAAGTAGAAGCAGATAGGGAATGGCAGGCAGGACTCCTCAGCTCTCTGGCTGACCAGCAGGAACAGGCAATAAAAACATAATTCTGGAGGCAAACACACAATTAATGAGCAGGTGTCAGGCTCCTACATACTCAATAGCTGCAGGTCAGTCTTCAGGTCAAGTCCTTATACATAGTGAACAGAAATTAAAGGACAGAAGAGAGGAGAGTTTGCTGGAGCCACAAAACGAGGATTATGCCATCTTGAGCCTCTTCCCATTACTGATGCTGCTCTGCTGGCCAAGGGAAGATAGAAAAGATGAGGAATGCTTCCAAACTGATTTGATGCTTGAATCAGGTACAGCACTTACACCAGACACCCTTAGGATGGTACCACACATCTCACTGCTACCCAGGCACTCCGGCTGGCAGGATCACATAGTACTGCCCAGTCTGCTATCTCAGCTCTGCCTGCATCCGGTGGGAATGTTTTCGACCCAAGCTACAGCATGCAGACAGAGAAAATGTGGGTCTTGTATACACAAGCATTTTTGTGTCCTTGTTCCTAACCTCACTGTGTATATGTAATATTAGACATGCATAGATCAACAAAAGAGCTGTGGGAAAAGCAGATTCACAAGGCTGAAAGGTTAAAATACACTTCAGCAATGGGAGTGGCTACACCACTGAAGTCTTTGCTTGGAAGAATTCATTTCACGTTCAACCAGTTTACCCAGAAAAGGTATTACCCTAAGTGTATCAAGAAATCTCTTGTAAGATAACTTGATACCATTAAATCCACAGTACTACAACTATGGATAAAAAGATACACAAAGCTTGGGAAAGCTCTGGGTGAAAGCTGAAATTTTCCTTCTCAAACATTCTTCTACAGCCCCTTCCAACCTTTTCGCACATATACGTAACTTGCCCACAGTCTGACCCTTCTGAAGGGAAGGGATATTTTCCCAGAGGACATGATACATGGAATAAGGGGGCACAGACTGCTGATTACCAGACTTCAGCAGAAGGTGATATGGGGTTCTTCTCTTCCTCCATACCTGGCATTACCTCAACACATCTTTTACCTCCAAAACTCCTATTTGTACACATGCACCCCAAAGGCTCCAGCTGCGCTGTGCTGGCATCTTCCCAGGGCATGGGTGAGCAGGATAAAGGGAGAGAAAACAATGCAATCACAGACTCTCCCTTTCTCCACTGCAGCAGCTGAGGGAAGTGCCACTGGTGTTCACTGGTGTGCAGCTGTGCACAGAGTGAGGAAGCCCTTGGTTTCACTCCTCAGAGGCATAATGCTGATGCCAGGGGCCTCAGTGATAACACAACCAAGCAGCACTGGGGGTCCCTCAGCTAAAGCAGCTAGGACTGCCTCTGATCCATATACTGATGCAAACCAACTTTGGTCATCAGAGAAGGCACAAGCTAGGACATTTCCTGTGGTTGAGGAGTTTATGAGGACTGTCTTCACTGTGAAACCCACTGTGGTTTGTTTGACCTCTTACCCAGAGATCTTAATAGAAAACCCAACAGGACCTTTCCACCCTTTTGCTTGCTTTTCTAAACTTGCAGGAACACAGAAGTGGTGAACTTTTTGCCATACGGTTGAAAGGAAGAAAATGATTGCTGGAGAATGATAGAAAGATGATACTCTCATCTTGTTTTCCTGGGATACTAGGCTGGAACTAGAGCTCTGGCTCTTGTAGCCTTATGCTATTCTAGTTTTCTGTCCAACCTTTTTTTGCAGAGCAACCACCTTTCCCCCACCCCACCCCAGCTGGTTCCTAAGCTTGGAGAGGCCACTATTCTGGCTTTTAACATTTCAGCTTAAGGCCCGCTTCTTGAAGTCTTTAAAGACTTTATCTGAGGAAGAAAGACTTCAATTTGTTCCAATGTGACATTTAAAAGCTCACTTTTTTTTTTAATTTCTTTTTGTACAAACTGTCAAAGCATCCTGGAAGCAGGCCCTGATTTTCTTTTCACTTTTACTAAGAGAGAATACTATGACAGACAAAAAAGTAATCTTAATTCTACAGCAAATGTTTTTTTTAACCAAAATAATGTCAAGTACACTTTAACATACGCTGCTTTTTTGTCTATATATACATCACTTCAGCTGCACAAGCTATGCCAACAATTAGATTGAGAAAAAATTAATGAAACATCTTGAGTAGCTTTGCAAGGGAGTCACTGAAAATTCACATTGCATAATACTCCACTCTCAGAGGAAAACACTTCAGAAGTCCCACTAAAAACCGGCCGCCCGCCGATTCTACTCCAGGAGAGCACAAATCCCACAGGCTGCCTTCCCGTTATTCCAGCCGACAGAGAAAAGCAAGCGCGCTGCTGGGTGCCTACAGCAGGAAAAGAGATACATGGCTTTTGAGGGGGACATCGGTCGGGATCCTGCCGCACCACCACTAAGCTGTCCTCTACCCGCGAGGGGAACGGCAACACTAGCGCGGCGGCCCCCGCGAGAGCCGAGCGGTAGCAGCCCCGGGGCCGGGCTCGAGCGGAGGCCGGTGGTCAGGCGCGCCGGCCGTTTGCCCCTTCAGCACGGGCGTTACCGGAGGGCGGGCGGGCTGGCGCTGCGC